TCAGAGATGATTAGACGCGTAGGATGATTGGACGCGTGTAAATCAGGTTGATTAGATGCACCATGTGATTGGATGCAGTCTAGGGTAGGCAGAAGTTAAGACCTATAAATCAATCACTTTCGAATCCTCCCTCAAGTGAGCAAGTGTTCTCTGCTTCGTTCTCTCCGGTCTCTCCGCTTCGTTTTCTCTTCGCCTCACGCTCAAGTTACAACAGGTTATGAGCCCAAGCGCCATGTCGTCCAACAACACCTCGGCCAGTGTCTCCATCGATAAGTTCGATGGGGACAACTACTCAACCTGGTGTCGCTACATGCGCGGCGTGTTTCTGACGAAGTCAGTCTGGTACGTCGTGAACCGCGAAACGTCTCCAACCTTCACCGACACGCGAGCTTCCGACGAGTACGTCAAGGCGAGCAACATCGCGTTCGGGTTGATGTTGCTCCACATGGACGCCGACTACCACCATGTGGTCGACAACTGTGAAGAAGCATGGACAGCGTGGTTGCGGTTGAAGATGCTCTATGGTGGGTCGCAGAAGGCGGGACGCATCTACCTCAAGCGCCAGCTGTTCAGCATCAAGATGGCGGAAGGTGCCAACGTCTTGCACCATTGCAACGAAGTCTTGAACATCGGCGCCAAGCTCAGCAGCATCGGTGCCAAGATGGAAGACGAAGACATTGCGATCTGCTTGCTGCTCAGTCTCCCGAAGAGTTTCGAGAACGTGGTTCTGAACTTGGAGATGAGCAATGCAGAGCTGCGCACGCAAGATGTGGTCAAGGTGCTGACTAACGAGCACATCAAGCGACAAGGCGAGAAGATGACAACGGCAACGACAACGGTGAAGACTGAAGATGCGACAAAGGCATTCAGTACCGAGCGCAAGCCCTACCAATGCACATACTGCGGCAAGGTGGGGCACACGGCAGAGCGTTGCTGGACGAAGCAAAAGGATGAAAGTCGAGGAGCCCAACGCGGCGGCAATGGTCGTGGACGCGGGGCAAACAATGTCCAGTGGCGACATTATGATGAAGGCAACAGCTACGATCGAGTGGCGTTTGCAGTTTCGTTCGAATGCGGAGTTTCGACGAACAAGAATGGACCAGGAATGTGGGCCGTTGACAGCGGGGCAACACATCACATCTGCCACGACAAGTTCAAGTTTGCAAGCTTGGTCGAAGGCAATGATGGCGAGATCCTGGTGGCTGATGGCAACAAGGCGGCCATCAAAGGTGTGGGGACCATCGTGGAAAAGGTGATTCTGCCAAACGGGGAAGAGCGCGAGATCGAGATCAAGAACGCGCTCTATGTGCCCAGCATGAGCAAAAATCTGCTCTCGGTGCCGCAGATTAACAAGCACGGCAACTTCCAAGTGGTGTTTGACGGGGATACGATGTACGTCGCTCGCAAGGATTCCAATCAAGTGGTGGCAGCTGCGGATCTTGTAGACGGACTCTACTGGCTTCGCACGACGCAGCGATCGGCCAATGCGACATCACTCAGCAACGCTGTTGATCTACATGCGCGAATGGGCCATGCTCCAGTCGACGTGCTTCGCAGGATGGTGACAAGCCACATGATCAAGGACGCTCACATCCCTTCCAAGCCGAATGGATCAAGTGTGTGTCGAGGATGCCAAGAAGGGAAGATGGTCCAAAAACCATTCCCGAGCAACCGTGACAAGCGCACCTACAACACCTTCGAGATGCTCCACTTCGACATCTGCGGACCCATGGAAGAAAAATCTCTGGGTGGCAGCAAGTATCTGCTGCTGATCGTGGATGAAGCCAGCGGATGCATGAAGGGTTTTTGTCTGCATTCCAAGTCAGAGAGCGAAGAGTGCATCAAGAAGTACATCACGATGATACAGACGCAGTTCAACAAGAAGGTCAAATTTGTGCGACACGATGGAGCCCGCGAGTTTGCGACGAACTCGCTTCAAGATTTCTACGAAGTCGAAGGCATCGAGCAACAAACCACGGTGCCATACGCACATCAAGCCAATGGAACTGCTGAACGCGCGATTCGAACTATCGTCACCATCGGTCGTAGCATGCTCCATCATGCCAAGTTGGACAAGTGCTTCTGGGCTGAAGCGGCAATGACGGCCGTCTATGTGAAGAACCGTTTGCCGTCACCCAAGATTCCACACAAGACACCGTTCGAGATTGTCTACAATTCTAAGCCAAGTGTCAAGCACATGCGCGTTTTTGGGTGCCAAGCATACATCTTGACCCCGAAGGAGAAACGACTCAAGTGGGATCCCAAGGCCCGGGCTGGATTGTTTTTGGGCTACGAAGAAGTGTCCAAGGCGTATCGAGTTTACGACATCGAAGCGGGGCAGGTGATGATAAGTCGCGATGTCAACTTCGATGAGTCGGCCTTTGGAATGTCGATGCTGATTTCCGATGACGATGTTGATGGCCTGGACTTCGAATCGATCGATCTTGATGATGAAGAACCGCGTCCGAGACACTTCAAACAAACAGGAAAGCGCAAGGCCCAACCCAGTCACGACAATGACGACGCAAGCATGCCCCGAGCAGTGCGCCAACGACCCGGATTGGAAGAGTCAAGTGCGCCGGATGACCTCTCTTCACGTCGAGCCAACGAAGATGAAGAAAGGAAGTCGGAGGAACAACATGACACACCGACTTCCTCCGCGTTTTGGCATGCGAGTGCAAACGCCGTCGAAGCAGCGGTCGATTTTTCGGAGCCATCGACATTTGAAGAAGCAGTGTCTGGCCCGGACCAAGTACACTGGCGCAAGGCAATTGATGCGGAGCTCGATTCGATGAAGCTTCGCGGTGTCTTTCGTGCGGCCAAGTTACCCAACGGACAAAGCGCCATTGGCACAAAGTGGGTCTTCAAGATCAAGCGCAAGGCGGATGGGTCGATCGAGAAATACAAGGCACGACTTGTGGCCAAGGGTTTTCGCCAAAAGTATGGCATCGACTACACGGAGACGTTCTCGCCCGTGGTCAAGTATGTGACGCTGCGAATGGTCATCGCCATTACCAAGCACTTTGGATGGCCCCTCGACCAGCTCGATGTGGTGACTGCGTTCCTGTATGGAGTGATGAAGGAGAAGGTGTTCTGCGCTGTTCCGGAAGGCGTCAAGATGGAAGGTGATTTCGACTGTCTCGAGCTGATCAAGGCGATCTACGGTCTCAAGCAAGCCTCGCGTGTTTGGAACGAGACCTTCGACGAGTTCATACGCTCGATTGGTTTTCAAGCGTCGGGATTCGATCCATGTCTCTACATCATGACTTCGGAAGGCCATTGTGTTTTTGTGCTGGTCTACGTGGACGATGTCTTGGTGACTGGAAGCTCGCTCGAGATGATTGCGCGCACCAAGAACGACCTCAAGACACGCTTCGAGATGACGGACAGCGGCAAGTGTGCCTTTGTTCTTGGGATCGAGTTATTGGACGGTGAAGATGGCAGCGTGACTATGTGTCAGCGCCGTTATGTCGACGATGTCCTCAAGCGCTTTGGAATGGATGAGTGCAAGGCTGTGGCAAGTCCGGTGGACGTCAGCTCTCGACTGGTTCCAAGCAACTCTGCAAGCAAGGTGGATGTCCCATTCCGTGAAGCAGTGGGTGCTTTGATGCATCTGACGACTGCAACGCGACCGGACATCGCCTATGCTGTAAGCTTTGTGTCACGGTTCATGGAGAAACCCCAAGAAGAACACTGGGTTGCAGTCAAGCGCATCTTCCGCTACCTACAAGGCACCAAGATGCATGGAATCTGCTACAAGCCAAGTGCGAAGATCGACTTTCGTGGCTATTCAGATGCAGACTGGGCCGGTGACCTTGCTGATCGCAAATCGACGTCCGGCTACGTCTTCATGCTATTGGGTGCTCCGGTGAGTTGGGGCAGCAAGAAACAGCCAAGTGTGTCACTGTCTACAAGCGAAGCGGAGTACATCGCGCTCAGCCTGGCGATCCAAGAAGGCAAGTGGATCAATCGCTTGTTGTGCGAGATCATGGCGGCTGCAAACGAAGAAGGACCCGAGCTCGTCATCCGTGAAGACAACCAGTCGTGCATCAAGATGACGAAGAATCCGGTCAACCACGGCCGCGCTAAACACATCGACATCAAGTACCATCACATCCGTGATGAAGTCAAGCGCGGCGAAGTGAAGCTTGAATACTGCGAGACGACGTTGATGTTGGCGGACATCATGACGAAGGGACTTCACGGACCGCGTCACAAGGACTTGACGGCGGCGCTTGGCATCCGTGCGTGTTCGGATTGAGGGGGCGTATTGAGGGTTACCGGTACAATCCGAACCTAGCGCGTAGTTCTTACGAGATAGTTTTTACATCGGTAATTACCTCAGAGATGATTAGACGCGTAGGATGATTGGACGCGTGTAAATCAGGTTGATTAGATGCACCATGTGATTGGATGCAGTCTAGGGTAGGCAGAAGTTAAGACCTATAAATCAATCACTTTCGAATCCTCCCTCAAGTGAGCAAGTGTTCTCTGCTTCGTTCTCTCCGGTCTCTCCGCTTCGTTTTCTCTTCGCCTCGCGCTCAAGTTACAACATTATCCATGAAGCGCGTAACGTAACTCACAGCAAAGGCAATGTCCGGTCGTGTCGCGGTCATCAAGTGCATCAGAGCGCCTACTGCTTTACGAAACGGGGCGTCGATTTTAGTTGCTGCGGTACTTGGTATGAGTCGAGAACTGATGTCTGTTGGGCTGGTGACGGCTTTGCAGTCGCTCATGCCAAAACGCTTGAGAACATCTTCCACGTAGCGTCGCTGGCACATCTTCACGCTACCGCTGTCGTTGTCCACCAGCTCGATTCCCAACACGAATGCGCACTTGCCGCTGTCAGTCATTTCGAAACGCGCCTTTAAGTCACTCTTGGTGCGCATAATCAGTTCGGTTGAGCTGCCAGTCACCAACACACCATCGACGTATACCAGCAAAAGCACGCACTCGCCACTTGTAATCTTGAGATAAAGACACGGGTCAAAATCGGAGACTTAAAATCCAATGGAGCAGACGAACTCATGAAAAGTCTCGTTCCATGCGCGCGATGCTTGTTTTAGTCCGTAGGTCACCTTGACCAGTTCAAAGCAGTCAAAGTCTTCATCAACTTCGACCCCTTCTGGGATCGCGCAGAATACCTTTTCCTTCATTTCTCCGTAAAGGAAAGCTGTCACCACGTCCAGTAGGTCCAGTGTCCAGCCAAAGTACTTCGTGATTGCAACCACCATGCGCAGCGTCACGTACTTGACTACCGGCGAAAACGTTTCCGTGTAGTCGATGCCATATTTCTGCTTGAACCCTTTTGCCACGAGACGCGCCTTGTATTTCTCGATGGATCCATCAGCTTTCCGTTTGATCTTGAATACCCACTTGGTGCCAATGGTATGCTGTCCAGACGGCAGTTTGGTCGCTCGAAACACGCCACGAAGTTTCATCGAGTCCAACTCGGCACAGATTGCCTTACGCCAATGCACTTGATCTGGTCCACCAACAGCATCTCCAAACTTTGTCGGCTCAGACAAGTCAGTACCTTCGACTGCATTGGCACTCGCTCGCCAAAAGACTTGAGGTGTAGCATCCTCGTTATCTTCGTCACTGCCCTTTTGCTCTTCGTCCAGATTGTCTCGAGCGCTTGATCGTCGCTTCGCTTGGTGCGATTCAGAGTCATCCGGGGCACTTGCTTCTTCTAACCCGGTTCCACGACGCTCAAGAAGTGTCCGTTGTAGAACTTGTTCTTGACTGTTTGAACAGCTTTTGCGTTTTCCAGCTTGCTTGAATTGCATGGGGTGAGGCTCATCGCTGATGTTCATCGATTCGATATCCAGCGCAGTGTCATCAACAATTTCTTGTGGTAGCCTCGGCGAGAAACCAAGCGTTGATTCGTCGAATGTGACATCGCGAGATATCACCACTTGGTCCGCTTCAATGTCGTAAACGCGATATGCCTTTGACACTTCTTCGTACCCCATGAATAGTCCTTCACGAGCCTTCGGATCCCATTTCGATCTTATTGAGGGTTACCGGTACAATCCGAACCTAGCGCGTAGTTCTTACGAGATAGTTTTTACATCGGTAATTACCTCAGAGATGATTAGACGCGTAGGATGATTGGACGCGTGTAAATCAGGTTGATTAGATGCACCATGTGATTGGATGCAGTCTAGGGTAGGCAGAAGTTAAGACCTATAAATCAATCACTTTCGAATCCTCCCTCAAGTGAGCAAGTGTTCTCTGCTTCGTTCTCTCCGGCCTCTCCGCTTCGTTTTCTCTTCGCCTCGCGCTCAAGTTACAACAGGTTATGAGCCCAAGCGCCATGTCGTCCAACAACACCTCGGCCAGTGTCTCCATCGATAAGTTCGATGGGGACAACTAATCAACCTGGTGTCGCTACATGCGCGGCGTGTTTCTGACGAAGTCAGTCTGGTACGTCGTGAACCGCGAAACGTCTCCAACCTTCACCGACACGCGAGCTTCCGACGAGTACGTCAAGGCGAGCAACATCGCGTTCAAGTTGATGTTGCTCTACATGGACGCCGACTACCACCATGTGGTCGACAACTGTGAAGAAGCATGGACAGCGTGGTCGCGGTTGAAGATGCTCTATGGTGGGTCGCAGAAGGCGGGACGCATCTACCTCAAGCGCCAGCTGTTCAGCATCAAGATGGCGGAAGGTGCCAACGTCTTGCACCATTGCAACGAAGTCTTGAACATCGGCGCCAAGCTCAGCAGCATCGGTGCCAAGATGGAAGACGAAGACATTGCGATCTGCTTGCTGCTCAGTCTCCCGAAGAGTTTCGAGAACGTGGTTCTGAACTTGGAGATGAGCAATGCAGAGCTGCGCACGCAAGATGTGGTCAAGGTGCTGACTAACGAGCACATCAAGAGACAAGGCGAGAAGATGACAACGGCAACGACAACGGTGAAGACTGAAGATGCGACAAAAGCATTCAGTACCGAGCGCAAGCCCTACCAATGCACATACTGCGGCAAGGTGGGGCACACGGCAGAGCGTTGCTGGACGAAGCAAAAGGATGAAAGTCGAGGAGCCCAACGCGGCGACAATGGTCGTGGACGCGGGGCAAACAATGTCCAGTGGCGATATTATGATGAAGGCAACAGCTACGATCGAGTGGCGTTTGCAGTTTCGTTCGAATGCGGAGTTCCGACGAACAAGAATGAACCAGGAATGTGGGCCGTTGAAAGCGGGGCAACACATTACATCTGCCACGACAAGTTCAAGTTTGCAAGTTTGGTCGAAGGCAATGATGGCGAGATCCTGGTGGCTGATGGCAACAAGGCGGCCATCAAAGGTGTGGGGACCATCGTGGAAAAGGTGATTCTGCCAAACGGGGAAGAGCGCGAGATCGAGATCAAGAACGCGCTCTATGTGCCCAGCATGAGCAAAAATCTGCTCTCGGTGCCGCAGATTAACAAGCACGGCAACTTCCAAGTGGTGTTTGACGGGGATACGATGTACGTCGCTCGCAAGGATTCCAACCAAGTGGTGGCAGCTGCGGATCTTGTAGACGGACTCTACTGGCTTCGCACGACGCAGCGATCGGCCAATGCGACATCACTCAGCAACGCTGTTGATCTACATGCGCGAATGGGCCATGCTCCAGTCGACGTGCTTCGCAGGATGGTGACAAGCCACATGATCAAGGACGCTCACATCCCTTCCAAGCCGAATGGATCAAGTGTGTGTCGAGGATGCCAAGAAGGGAAGATGGTCCAAAAACCATTCCCGAGCAACCGTGACAAGCGCACCTACAACACCTCCGAGATGCTCCACTTCGACATCTGCGGACCCATGGAAGAAAAATCTCTGGGTGGCAGCAAGTATCTGCTGCTGATCGTGGATGAAGCCAGCGGATGCATGAAGGGTTTTTGTCTGCATTCCAAGTCAGAGAGCGAAGAGTGCATCAAGAAGTACATCACGATGATACAGACGCAGTTCAACAAGAAGGTCAAATTTGTGCGACACGATGGAGCCCGCGAGTTTGCGACGAACTCGCTTCAAGATTTCTACGAAGTCGAAGGCATCGAGCAACAAACCACGGTGCCATACGCACATCAAGCCAATGGAACTGCTGAACGCGCGATTCGAACTATCGTCACCATCGGTCGTAGCACGCTCCATCATGCCAAGTTGGACAAGTGCTTCTGGGCTGAAAGCGGCAATGACGGCCGTCTATGTGAAGAACCGTTTGCCGTCACCCAAGATTCCACACAAGACACCGTTCGAGATTGTCTACAATTCTAAGCCAAGTGTCAAGCACATGCGCGTTTTTGGGTGCCAAGCATACATCTTGACCCCGAAGGAGAAACGACTCAAGTGGGATCCCAAGGCCCGGGCTGGATTGTTTTTGGGCTACGAAGAAGTGTCCAAGGCGTATCGAGTTTACGACATCGAAGCGGGGCAGGTGATGATAAGTCGCGATGTCAACTTCGATGAGTCGGCCTTTGGAATGTCGATGCTGATTTCCGATGACGATGTTGATGGCCTGGACTTCGAATCGATCGATCTTGATGATGAAGAACCGCGTCCGAGACACTTCAAACAAACAGGAAAGCGCAAGGCCCAACCCAGTCACGACAATGACGACGCAAGCATGCCCCGAGCAGTGCGCCAACGACCCGGATTGGAAGAGTCAAGTGCGCCGGATGACCTCTCTTCACGTCGAGCCAACGAAGATGAAGAAAGGAAGTCGGAGGAACAACATGACACACGGACTTCCTCCGCGTTTTGGCATGCGAGTGCAAACGCCGTCGAAGCAGCGGTCGATTTTTCGGAGCCATCGACATTTGAAGAAGCAGTGTCTGGCCCGGACCAAGTACACTGGCGCAAGGCAATTGATGCGGAGCTCGATTCGATGAAGCTTCGCGGTGTCTTTCGTGCGGCCAAGTTACCCAACGGACAAAGCTCCATTGGCACAAAGTGGGTCTTCAAGATCAAGCGCAAGGCGGATGGGTCGATCGAGAAATACAAGGCACGACTTGTGGCCAAGGGTTTTCGCCAAAAGTATGGCATCGACTACACGGAGACGTTCTCGCCCGTGGTCAAGTATGTGACGCTGCGAATGGTCATCGCCCATTACCAAGCACTTTGGATGGCCCCTCGACCAGCTCGATGTGGTGACTGCGTTCCTGTATGGAGTGATGAAGGAGAAGGTGTTCTGCGCTGTTCCGGAAGGCGTCAAGATGGAAGGTGATTTCGACTGTCTCGAGCTGATCAAGGCGATCTACGGTCTCAAGCAAGCCTCGCGTGTTTGGAACGAGACCTTCGACGAGTTCATACGATCGATTGGTTTTCAAGCGTCGGGATTCGATCCATGTCTCTACATCATGACTTCGGAAGGCCATTGTGTTTTTGTGCTGGTCTACGTGGACGATGTCTTGGTGACTGGAAGCTCGCTCGAGATGATTGCGCGCACCAAGAACGACCTCAAGACACGCTTCGAGATGACGGACAGCGGCAAGTGTGCGTTTGTTCTTGGGATCGAGTTATTGGACGGTGAAGATGGTAGCGTGACTATGTGTCAGCGCCGTTATGTCGACGATGTCCTCAAGCGCTTTGGAATGGATGAGTGCAAGGCTGTGGCAAGTCCGGTGGACGTCAGCTCTCGACTGGTTCCAAGCAACTCTGCAAGCAAGGTGGATGTCCCATTCCGTGAAGCAGTGGGTGCTTTGATGCATCTGACGACTGCAACGCGACCGGACATCGCCTATGCTGTAAGCTTTGTGTCACGGTTCATGGAGAAACCCCAAGAAGAACACTGGGTTGCAGTCAAGCGCATCTTCCGCTACCTACAAGGCACCAAGATGCATGGAATCTGCTACAAGCCAAGTGCGAAGATCGACTTTCGTGGCTATTCAGATGCAGACTGGGCCGGTGACCTTGCTGATCGCAAATCGACGTCCGGCTACGTCTTCATGCTATTGGGTGCTCCGGTGAGTTGGGGCAGCAAGAAACAGCCAAGTGTGTCACTGTCTACAAGCGAAGCGGAGTACATCGCGCTCAGCCTGGCGATCCAAGAAGGCAAGTGGATCAATCGCTTGTTGTGCGAGATCATGGCGGCTGCAAACGAAGAAGGACCCGAGCTCGTCATCCGTGAAGACAACCAGTCGTGCATCAAGATGACGAAGAATCCGGTCAACCACGGCCGCGCTAAACACATCGACATCAAGTACCATCACATCCGTGATGAAGTCAAGCGCGGCGAAGTGAAGCTTGAATACTGCGAGACGACGTTGATGTTGGCGGACATCATGACGAAGGGACTTCACGGACCGCGTCACAAGGACTTGACGGCGGCGCTTGGCATCCGTGCGTGTTCGGATTGAGGGGGCGTATTGAGGGTTACCGGTACAATCCGAACCTAGCGCGTAGTTCTTACGAGATAGTTTTTACATCGGTAATTACCTCAGAGATGATTAGACGCGTAGGATGATTGGACGCGTGTAAATCAGGTTGATTAGATGTACCATGTGATTGGATGCAGTCTAGGGTAGGCAGAAGTTAAGACCTATAAATCAATCACTTTCGAATCCTCCCTCAAGTGAGCAAGTGTTCTCTGCTTCGTTCTCTCCGGTCTCTCCGCTTCGTTTTCTCTTCGCCTCGCGCTCAAGTTACAACATTATCCATGAAGCGCGTAACGTAACTCACAGCAAAGGCAATGTCCGGTCGTGTCGCGGTCATCAAGTGCATCAGAGCGCCTACTGCTTCACGAAACGGGGCGTCGATTTTAGTTGCTGCGGTACTTGGTATGAGTCGAGAACTGATGTCTGTTGGGCTGGTGACGGCTTTGCAGTCGCTCATGCCAAAACGCTTGAGAACATCTTCCACGTAGCGTCGCTGGCACATCTTCACGCTACCGCTGTCGTTGTCCACCAGCTCGATTCCCAACACGAATGCGCACTTGCCGCTGTCAGTCATTTCGAAACGCGCCTTTAAGTCACTCTTGGTGCGCATAATCAGTTCGGTTGAGCTGCCAGTCACCAACACACCATCGACGTATACCAGCAAAAGCACGCACTCGCCACTTGTAATCTTGAGATAAAGACACGGGTCAAAATCGGAGACTTAAAATCCAATGGAGCAGACGAACTCATGAAAAGTCTCGTTCCATGCGCGCGATGCTTGTTTTAGTCCGTAGGTCACCTTGACCAGTTCAAAGCAGTCAAAGTCTTCATCAACTTCGACCCCTTCTGGGATCGCGCAGAATACCTTTTCCTTCATTTCTCCGTAAAGGAAAGCTGTCACCACGTCCAGTAGGTCCAGTGTCCAGCCAAAGTACTTCGTGATTGCAACCACCATGCGCAGCGTCACGTACTTGACTACCGGCGAAAACGTTTCCGTGTAGTCGATGCCATATTTCTGCTTGAACCCTTTTGCCACGAGACGCGCCTTGTATTTCTCGATGGATCCATCAGCTTTCCGTTTGATCTTGAATACCCACTTGGTGCCAATGGTATGCTGTCCAGACGGCAGTTTGGTCGCTCGAAACACGCCACGAAGTTTCATCGAGTCCAACTCGGCACAGATTGCCTTACGCCAATGCACTTGATCTGGTCCACCAACAGCATCTCCAAACTTTGTCGGCTCAGACAAGTCAGTACCTTCGACTGCATTGGCACTCGCTCGCCAAAAGACTTGAGGTGTAGCATCCTCGTTATCTTCGTCACTGCCCTTTTGCTCTTCGTCCAGATTGTCTCGAGCGCTTGATCGTCGCTTCGCTTGGTGCGATTCAGAGTCATCCGGGGCACTTGCTTCTTCTAACCCGGTTCCACGACGCTCAAGAAGTGTCCGTTGTAGAACTTGTTCTTGACTGTTTGAACAGCTTTTGCGTTTTCCAGCTTGCTTGAATTGCATGGGGTGAGGCTCATCGCTGATGTTCATCGATTCGATATCCAGCGCAGTGTCATCAACAATTTCTTGTGGTAGCCTCGGCGAGAAACCAAGCGTTGATTCGTCGAATGTGACATCGCGAGATATCACCACTTGGTCCGCTTCAATGTCGTAAACGCGATATGCCTTTGACACTTCTTCGTACCCCATGAATAGTCCTTCACGAGCCTTCGGATCCCATTTCGATCTTATTGAGGGTTACCGGTACAATCCGAACCTAGCGCGTAGTTCTTACGAGATAGTTTTTACATCGGTAATTACCTCAGAGATGATTAGACGCGTAGGATGATTGGACGCGTGTAAATCAGGTTGATTAGATGCACCATGTGATTGGATGCAGTCTAGGGTAGGCAGAAGTTAAGACCTATAAATCAATCACTTTCGAATCCTCCCTCAAGTGAGCAAGTGTTCTCTGCTTCGTTCTCTCCGGCCTCTCCGCTTCGTTTTCTCTTCGCCTCGCGCTCAAGTTACAACAGGTTATGAGCCCAAGCGCCATGTCGTCCAACAACACCTCGGCCAGTGTCTCCATCGATAAGTTCGATGGGGACAACTAATCAACCTGGTGTCGCTACATGCGCGGCGTGTTTCTGACGAAGTCAGTCTGGTACGTCGTGAACCGCGAAACGTCTCCAACCTTCACCGACACGCGAGCTTCCGACGAGTACGTCAAGGCGAGCAACATCGCGTTCAAGTTGATGTTGCTCTACATGGACGCCGACTACCACCATGTGGTCGACAACTGTGAAGAAGCATGGACAGCGTGGTCGCGGTTGAAGATGCTCTATGGTGGGTCGCAGAAGGCGGGACGCATCTACCTCAAGCGCCAGCTGTTCAGCATCAAGATGGCGGAAGGTGCCAACGTCTTGCACCATTGCAACGAAGTCTTGAACATCGGCGCCAAGCTCAGCAGCATCGGTGCCAAGATGGAAGACGAAGACATTGCGATCTGCTTGCTGCTCAGTCTCCCGAAGAGTTTCGAGAACGTGGTTCTGAACTTGGAGATGAGCAATGCAGAGCTGCGCACGCAAGATGTGGTCAAGGTGCTGACTAACGAGCACATCAAGAGACAAGGCGAGAAGATGACAACGGCAACGACAACGGTGAAGACTGAAGATGCGACAAAAGCATTCAGTACCGAGCGCAAGCCCTACCAATGCACATACTGCGGCAAGGTGGGGCACACGGCAGAGCGTTGCTGGACGAAGCAAAAGGATGAAAGTCGAGGAGCCCAACGCGGCGACAATGGTCGTGGACGCGGGGCAAACAATGTCCAGTGGCGATATTATGATGAAGGCAACAGCTACGATCGAGTGGCGTTTGCAGTTTCGTTCGAATGCGGAGTTCCGACGAACAAGAATGGACCAGGAATGTGGGCCGTTGAAAGCGGGGCAACACATTACATCTGCAACGACAAGTTCAAGTTTGCAAGTTTGGTCGAAGGCAATGATGGCGAGATCCTGGTGGCTGATGGCAACAAGGCGGCCATCAAAGGTGTGGGGACCATCGTGGAAAAGGTGATTCTGCCAAACGGGGAAGAGCGCGAGATCGAGATCAAGAACGCGCTCTATGTGCCCAGCATGAGCAAAAATCTGCTCTCGGTGCCGCAGATTAACAAGCACGGCAACTTCCAAGTGGTGTTTGACGGGGATACGATGTACGTCGCTCGCAAGGATTCCAACCAAGTGGTGGCAGCTGCGGATCTTGTAGACGGACTCTACTGGCTTCGCACGACGCAGCGATCGGCCAATGCGACATCACTCAACAACGCTGTTGATCTACATGCGCGAATGGGCCATGCTCCAGTCGACGTGCTTCGCAAGATGGTGACAAGCCACATGATCAAGGACGCTCACATCCCTTCCAAGCCGAATGGATCAAGTGTGTGTCGAGGATGCCAAGAAGGGAAGATGGTCCAAAAACCATTCCCGAGCAACCGTGACAAGCGCACCTACAACACCTTCGAGATGCTCCACTTCGACATCTGCGGACCCATGGAAGAAAAATCTCTGGGTGGCAGCAAGTATCTGCTGCTGATCGTGGATGAAGCCAGCGGATGCATGAAGGGTTTTTGTCTGCATTCCAAGTCAGAGAGCGAAGAGTGCATCAAGAAGTACATCACGATGATACAGACGCAGTTCAACAAGAAGGTCAAATTTGTGCGACACGATGGAGCCCGCGAGTTTGCGACGAACTCGCTTCAAGATTTCTACGAAGTCGAAGGCATCGAGCAACAAACCACGGTGCCATACGCACATCAAGCCAATGGAACTGCTGAACGCGCGATTCGAACTATCGTCACCATCGGTCGTAGCATGCTCCATCATGCCAAGTTGGACAAGTACTTCTGGGCTGAAGCGGCAATGACGGCCGTCTATGTGAAGAACCGTTTGCCGTCACCCAAGATTCCACACAAGACACCGTTCGATATTGTCTACAATTCTAAGCCAAGTGTCAAGCACATGCGCGTTTTTGGGTGCCAAGCATACATCTTGACCCCGAAGGAGAAACGACTCAAGTGGGATCCCAAGGCCCGGGCTGGATTGTTTTTGGGCTACGAAGAAGTGTCCAAGGCGTATCGAGTTTACGACATCGAAGCGGGGCAGGTGATGATAAGTCGCGATGTCAACTTCGATGAGTCGGCCTTTGGAATGTCGATGCTGATTTCCGATGACGATGTTGATGGCCTGGACTTCGAATCGATCGATCTTGATGATGAAGAACCGCGTCCGAGACACTTCAAACAAACAGGAAAGCGCAAGGCCCAACCCAGTCACGACAATGACGACGCAAGCATGCCCCGAGCAGTGCGCCAACGACCCGGATTGGAAGAGTCAAGTGCGCCGGATGACCTCTCTTCACGTCGAGCCAACGAAGATGAAGAAAGGAAGTCGGAGGAACAACATGACACACCGACTTCCTCCGCGTTTTGGCATGCGAGTGCAAACGCCGTCGAAGCAGCGGTCGATTTTTCGGAGCCATCGACATTTGAAGAAGCAGTGTCTGGCCCGGACCAAGTACACTGGCGCAAGGCAATTGATGCGGAGCTCGATTCGATGAAGCTTCGCGGTGTCTTTCGTGCGGCCAAGTTACCCAACGGACAAAGCGCCATTGGCACAAAGTGGGTCTTCAAGATCAAGCGCAAGGCGGATGGGTCGATCGAGAAATACAAGGCACGACTTGTGGCCAAGGGTTTTCGCCAAAAGTATGGCATCGACTACACGGAGACGTTCTCGCCCGTGGTCAAGTATGTGACGCTGCGAATGGTCATCGCCATTACCAAGCACTTTGGATGGCCCCTCGACCAGCTCGATGTGGTGACTGCGTTCCTGTATGGAGTGATGAAGGAGAAGGTGTTCTGCGCTGTTCCGGAAGGCGTCAAGATGGAAGGTGATTTCGACTGTCTCGAGCTGATCAAGGCGATCTACGGTCTCAAGCA